TATAAATAATTATATTTTTAGTCATTTTGTCAATTTTCATTAGTTTTTTAATATAAAATGTCTACTTAGTTTTTATTTTTATTTTTAGTAATTTAAGTACTTCAACTTAAACTACAATGAAAATTAGTTACTAACTTAAAATAAATGTATTTTATATCTTTATATCTTTCATTTTAAATTTCATGTAAGTTAACGTAATGTTTTAATGTTTTTTTGTGTTCGTTTCAGTTAACAATAACAATACTGCTCCATATACATTGGAATGAAGTGCATAATTGTGAATAATTTAAATGTAAATATAGAGAATTATTTGCATAGAACTTTTTATGGACTTGATACAGTGCATTATATGTTTTAATTAACATAAACTGGTCATTGTTACAATGATGGCAGACCTTAAATCATTAACTTGACATGACATGAAATTCAGCTAAAACATTTACTTTAGCCTATATACATAAATAATTGTAACTAAACAAGGCCATCAAATTGTCATTTTGAGTGCTCAAAATGTTATTTTTTTTTGTTTATTTATTTTTACGTTTAGAGTGTAGAGTATTTACAGAATTTAAACTTTTAACAATTATTAGTGGTGCTTCACTATTAGTCTTGCACGTACTCGGGTAAAGAGTAAGTGTTATGTTTCGGTGCTCAGATTGTGTAACATGTTGAAGAATGGTGTGATTTTGATTGTAGTCATCAGACTTAAGATTTTTACCTGATAAACAATAAAACTGGTGAAAAATCTAATAGATTTGCATTGAAGGAGGCATGTGGTAACAGAATTTTGGATGGGCCTAGCATTATGTGAGCGACTTATTTCAAAAAGCAAGTACCCCTTTCTTCAGTGTAAAAATATGAATAAAAATAAATGTATTTACAAATAGTGATTGTAAAACTGAAAACACCTTGCAATTAAAGGTCACTTTAACAAATTGCTATCAATAATCATACAATGTCAACAAGCACTTACGCCACAAATCAGGTCTTTAAAGCACAAACCTTTCAATCACCACAGTAAAAAGCACAATGCAGCACAGGTTACAGCGCTTTAACTTATAGAGTTACCATTAGCTGGAAAGGGTATCAGTGTTCGTGGATGGGCTGGAAGGACCCATTTGGTTACAGAGTGTCAGGTTGATGCTCTTTGTCTGAAACACGTATGCAGAGAAAGCAGCAGAATGTAAAGGGATAAACGGATTGCGTTTTTAGAAAGCAAGACATGATGGGTATAATAGGAACTCAATCTACAAACCTGTTTCAAAGAGAAAAATATGTTTAAAAACCAACATTTTTCAATCTTTAATTAATTTTAGGCACTAGAATCACCAGTTTCATGTCTTAATTTACCATAATTTGTTTAATGTGCCAGAGTTGTCGTTTTAGATACAGTAAAACAAACCCATGAGCCAGTTACTGTTACCATTTTATCAACACAGATCAATTGATTCTTACATTTCCTGGCCCAGTTGCTGGTAACACTGTTACTTACTTTAACGCCAGATAACATTCAACACTTTTTTATTTTAAACTTCAATTTCTATACTTTTTTAACAGGGGAAAATATGATGGTGACTGTGAAAAGAGCATTTCTGTATCACAGATTATTTTTTAAATGTCTATTTACTTTGTGATAAATGTAATTTCAGTTTAAGTAATTTTAGTACTTCAACTTAAACCCAAATAAAAATTATAAATGTTGCCTTGCTTACTAATTTAAATAAGAAAAAAATATTTTTTGTAGTATTTTATTTTAGTTAACAGATGTTTTAAAAAAAATGTTGTTTTAGTTAACAATAACAGTACTGTTCAATGTACTGTTTGTTTCTCATAGAAAACATGATGAAGGACATAATGGAGTATTATTTAAATGTAGTAAATGTAGAGAATCATTTGCTAAGAAATTATTATATCATTAATTACTATTATAACAATTTTTATAACTTCTTCATTGACATTTTTTAATGGGGAAAATATGATGAAGGTAAAAAGGTCATCAACTTGAATCACCACCAATACTTTTTATTTAGCTAATGAGTGGTCAACTGATATGAGTATATGAGTATGACTGATGTGAGTAAGATGGTTAAAATTAAATTAAATTATTCATTCACTGAAAAAAATGTGTCAATTTTTTTATCCATTCACAAGGCTGTCAGTAGATTTTAGCCTAGTAAAAAAAGTAATATATTTAAAATACATTTATTTCATGCAAAGTATAGTTCAACATATTTACTGACATTTATACAATTACACAATTATAATTAAACTTTATTTGGAGTACTACTTGTGCACAATGCACATTTCTTAATATTAAGCCTAAAATGTGTTTTAATATCACTATTGATGAGGATTGTATGATCTTTAAATATATCAGGTAAGATGTGTACCTGAAGTATACTTGCAATAGTTCCACTTTAGCACAATCAAATATACTTCAGAATATCTTTAGTTGGACATCAGCACTACTTCTGCACAATAAAGTGCATTAAGTACAAAATTAGTTCAATTTAGCAGACTTTAAGTATACTAATTTAGTATACTGCATTTTTAATATGTACATAAATATGTAAATGTATTTGTAGTATACTTAGCATGAAATGAATGTATTTCAAATATATTTTAGTATATTTATTTTTCACTAGGGTTGTGACGAGAAATATCATAGAGTTCGTAACTTTTGATAAAATCCGCAGTGTCTTGAAGTGCTCAAATCTACCTAGAGCTCAGGTCAGTCGTTGTCATCACTGGAATTGTCTGATACTGATAATACAACCTCGATTTTATTCACTCTTGCTTTAATTCTTACATCAAATGCCAACCATATGATATATATCATAAGAAAGTGTATTCAAAATACCCATTCATTCCAGGTGACTGATGCTGCTTTGGAAAATATGACCACAGATGGAAACTTCAAACCACCGAGCAGATGTACGGTAGTGCGTAAAAGGCTGCATATCCAGTTTAAACAGTCGCATACTGTACAGTACGTTTACAACTCTCCATTACCACTTTAGTAATTAACATGGAGAGGAATGTTTTGCAACACGTGTAATTGACGTAATTAACCTATTCACTCAAGGTCGTAGATACTTATTGATACTTATGAATGTGCTTGAACTTTTAAATCAAAATTTATGTCCATTATGAATTAATTTGTAATATATTACCAGGTGTGCTTTACAGAGTCACATATTTGTTTCTCAGAAAATCTTTTATTTATCGGCAAACGTCTGGGGCTGGTTGAATTTATTTCCACGAAACACGTGATGTTGCCATAGGTAGACGCCTTATTAAGTTACAGGGACAGTCACCCTATAGCACCCTGAAAGACTGGTTCAAACTTCTGACCTTTAGGTTATCAGCCTGGATCTTTAAACCACAAGGAAATACTGCACTGAATTTTTCTCCACATTTTTTGTAACCTATATGTTCTTTAGTTTAGAGGCAACATCAAAATTCATACAAAAGAGCATTTAAGTTAAAATGATTAGTGTTTGAATTACAAATAAATAAGCGACTGATATTAATGTTCTTATATTTTTATATTTCAGTATTAATACTGAATATATATATATATACATATATATATATATATATATATATAGTGCTGTGAAAAGGCCTTTGCCCCCTTCCTGTTTCTTACATTTTTTGCATATTTGTCACACTTAAAAGATTCAGATCATCAAACAAATTTTAATATTACACAAAGATAACCTGAGTAAATACAAAATGCAGTTTTGAAATAATTTCATTAAAGGAAAAAAGCTGTCCGACCCTGCCTTGCCCTACGTGAAAAAGTAATTTTAAAAGTAAAAATCTAATAACTGGTTGTGCCACCCTTTGCAGCAACAACTGCAATCAAGCGTTTGCGATAACTGGCAATGAGGCAACGTCTGGCAACGTCGCTGTGGAGGAATTTTGAAAAAGAAAGTGAAGTGACGTGTTGCCATGTATGGTGACCCATACTCACAATTTGTGCTCTGCATTTAACCCATCCAAGTGCACACACACAGTAGTGAACACACACCCGAAGCAGTGGGCAGCCAGTGCTGCGGCACCCGGGGAGCACTTGGGGGTTCAGTGCCTTGCTCAAGGGTCTCACCTCAGTTGCAGTATTGAGGGTGGAAGAGAGCACTGGTTATTCACTCCCCCCACCTACAATCCCTGCCGGCCCTGAGACTCGAACCCGCAACCTTTCGGTTACAAGTCTGACTCTAACCATTAGGCCACGACTGCCCTACATTGGAGGGTTTTCGAGCATGAAAGGACTGTTTAAGGTCATGCCACAGCATCTCAATTGGATTTAAGTCCGGACTTTGACTTGGCCACTCCAAAACCTTAATTTGTTTTTTTTTGAGCCATTCAGAGGTGGACTTGCTGGTGTGTTTGGGATCATTGTCCTGCAGCATAACCCAAGTGCGCTTGAGCTCTTGAGCTTTTTTATTTATTTAGAGGAAATATTTAAAAATGTATCAATTTATTGGCTATAATATATATAAAAATAATTATATTATTGCACAGAATTGTTGCATTGGTGAATCCTTTAATTTGAATGACATGGTTGGTTGTAGATATGAATTTTAATGTACATACAGTACTCCAGAATCTATCCTTGGTTCCTTACATCATGCATCTTCACACACAGGTTCTTTTGGGACTTTGTGATGCTGTGCCTGATGATGGGCAACCTCATCATTTTGCCATGGGGCATCACCTTCTTTGAGGATCAGAATACGCTACCGTGGATCACCTTCAATGTGGCCTCTGACACCCTCTTCCTGGCTGACCTCGTCTTAAACTTTCGTACCGGCATTATGGAAGGCGATAACTCCCAAATCATCCTGGACCCGCAAGTGATCAGTCGGCGTTACCTGCGAGGCTGGTTTCTGGTGGATTTCATCTCCTCCATTCCAGTCGACTACATCTTCCTGGTGGTGGATATAGAGGCACGACTTGAGTCGGCAGAGGTGTACCGCACCGCCAGGGCTTTGCGCATTGTACGCTTCACCAAGATCCTCAGTCTGCTCAGATTGCTGCGCTTGTCCAGACTTATACGTTACATTCATCAGTGGGAAGAGGTGAGCAAAACAGGACAGGAAAAGAAAAGGATAGAGGAAATCGAGACTAGAATAGCAAAGAACGAAATATAGTTGCAGAAAATTTGACTTTTGTCTGAGGGAAACATTAAAATGCACTATGACAGTGATTTTTAGAATGACTTACAATATTCCAATGACAAGAATTTTGTCTTTCCATAACAAACTGATTCCAAACCTCCACAGTCAGTCTCAGTCTCTCCTCGTCCTCGTTTGATGTTAATATACTGGAGGAGTTTGAGTTTTTAGTGTTTTTACATTTACATTACCTTTGACAATATATAACACTCAAAGTTAATGTTTAAAATCACTAATAATTAATAACACTGTGAAATGTAATCTTTAGCAAATCTCAAGATTAATTTTAAAGGGATAGTTCACCCAAAAATGAAGGTTCTGTCTCACCCTCATGTCGTTCCAAAACCCGTAAGATCTTCGTTCATCTTCGGAACACAAATTAAGATATTTTTGATGAATTCAGAGCTTTCTGACCCTGCATAGACAGCAATCCAACTGACATGTTCAAGGCCCAGAAAGGTAGTAAGGTTAAAATAGTTAATGTGACATCAGTGGTTCAACCGTGATATTATGAAACTACAGTATGAGAATACTTTTTGTGTGCACAGAAAAAAAGACTTTATTCAACAATTCTTCTGTTCTGTGTCAGTTTTTGACCCACATTCTCAACAGTACCATGACGATTAATGACAGAATTTTAATTTTTGGGTGAACTATCCCTTTAATTTTCGTACTTATAATTATACATTATAATGTTGTGATGCCTAGAATTCACTTGTAATTTTTAAAATTACTGTTTTTTTTTCTTTACTGTTTTATTTTTTGTTTATTTGGAATTTAAAATGCCATTTATCATTTATTCCCCATAACATGAAAATTATTAGGAGAAATGTGTGTTCACATTAGAGACATTTTGCGGGTAGAAAAGTGTCCATTGGCTATTGTCAATAATGTATCGATATATGAACTACAGCTCACACAGAAGTCAATTTCAAACCAGGCAGATTTCTGTTGGTCAACACAAATTTGTGTTACCAACTTGAACCCATTTGGTCTGATGTGCCACCTGTTCCAGGTCTAAACACTCTATCAACTTCCAAAAGCAAACAACAAACGGGGTTAATATACTCTGTTACAATGTCCTGTAATGCTACCAAAACATTTCTCTCTAAATCAAAGCCTCAGATGGCCAGACAGTGATTCTTCTTTCATGCATCATTAAAACTGTTGTGTACACTGTGACTTTTTTATTTTTAGTATGAATATGTTAAGAATATCAATAAGCTCTGAAACATTGACAAAACTCATAATTACAAGATAGAAGCATTCAAATCTCACAGTCTCTTATATACACCAATACGGATCAACGATTTTGATGACATCATTCTGTAATGCAATGCAAAAGATCAGACATTGCAAATGGTTAGATATCCTCTGCATTATAAACCGCAATGTTGGGGGGAAGAGAAACTAAACACTATTGGTTATTTAAAAAACAGCTATGATGGACTCGATATGTCCTGCCCTAACTTCCTGTTTCAGGGCACTTCAGTGGGGCTTAACTTAAATGTGTTATATGGATAAACAGTGCTCATAAATGGCTGTTGAGATTGTACAGTTGAAACGAGTAGAGCCTTGGACCTAGAAACAGTATTCAATTCTAGTGCTGACTGTATCTCTATCATTCTTTTTTTTTTTTTTTTTTTTTCCCTTGTACAAATCCCCTTGTATTTAATTTATAGTTAATTTATTATTAATTTTCACATGCTTTCAGATGGAGCAGCATTTACTTCACAGAGCCGTAGTTCACTGAGAAGCTATGCAAACAGCTGTCATTATCGCGAACGATTTCTTCGATTTCATAATGGCGCAATAAAATTGTCTGCGAATTATTATTATTTTTTTTTTTTTTTTTTTACAGATCTTCCATATGACCTATGACCTTGCAAGCGCAGTAGTTCGCATAGTGAATCTGATTGGAATGATGCTGCTGCTGTGTCACTGGGATGGCTGCATGCAGTTCATGGTGCCCATGTTGCAAGATTTCCCGCCAAACTGCTGGGTCGCCAAAAACAACATGGTGGTATGTTTGAGGATCTTGGGTAGTGTAGTGTTTTCTGTTTGTTATCTAGTTTGTAATCAAACAGAAAAAGCACTTCTGCTACCTAAAGAAAATGTTAAACATTTACATTTCGCTTTAAATTTGCAATATGTCTTTCTCTGTCAGAATGCCACTTGGGATGTCCAATACTCCTATGCCCTTTTTATGGCCATGAGCCATATGCTGTGTATTGGATATGGTGCTCAGGCACCTGAGGGACCAACTGACGTCTGGCTCACGATGATCAGCATGATCATTGGCGCCACCTGCTATGCCATGTTCTTGGGCAATGCCACCAACCTGATCCAGTCCTTGGATGCTTCCCATCGGCAGTATCAAGAGAAGGTACTTATTGCTCAGTAAAGCATTTTTGAGACATTGTTTTTTTTCCCCCCTTTTGTCAACAGTTTTGTTGTTTGGTTTGTTACAGTACAAACAGGTGGAACAGTACATGTCCTTCCACAAGCTGCCGGCTGACATGAGGCAGAGGATCCACGAGTATTATGAGCACCGCTTCCAGGGCAAGATATTTCACGAAGAAAGTATCCTCGAAGAACTCAATGACCCACTAAAAGAGGTTTCTCTTATATTTTTTCTTTCTTTCGTGTTTTGGTCAGATCATCTTTCATGTAATAACTTGCTCCACCTGAGAAAGAACTTTTCTTATTTTGGTTGACATTCACAGTGGAGAATGGTCAGTCACATGATTGCCAGCTGTGAACAAAATGTCTGTTTTTTTTTGTTTGGACAATTAATAAATTCATATTTCATTTAATAATAGCAAAATAATATATTATTTATTATTTGCTTATTTAAAAGTCCTATTTAAAATAGGTAAATTGATGAGCTTTGGTTTAAATGGTTTTCAGTCTTGCATTTTATCTCCCAAATTGATGGATGTCATTTTAAAAATGTGAAAATGAGCAGAAATAAGTTACCGCAAACTATTATTTACATAAGGTAAACATTTGACCAGACTACTTGTTTGACTAAAATTATCAGTTGTGCAAGCCCTAATTTATATAAATGTATATAATAAATATTTATTATAAATTGTATATGATAAACATTTATTAAAAATTATTTATCGCATGCATATATCGCATTATATATTTTGTAAATATATATTTGGAAAAAAATATTAAAGGGGACATATGACGTTGCTAAAAATAACATTATTTGGTGTATTTGGTGTAATGCAATGTGTTTATGCGGTTTAAGGTTCAA